TGATCTCTAGCCATATCGAGAGCGATGGGTCCGATCGCCGCCTGAACCGTGGCTTTTGGTATCCACGACAGGGCTATGAATAGCTTTTCTTTGGTTTTGAGGTCAACTCCATAGACAACTATTGCCGAAACAATTGACCGAAATATTAGTCCAATTAATAGACACATAATTGCGAAACCAATGGATTCTCCCTTTAGGTCTGATATCTTGACTTCAGTTCCGATTAATACAAACAAAAATGTCTCAAATATTATCCAAAGAAACTTTAAATTCTCGCGAATCGGTTCATAGAAGTGAGTGTTTCGCCACTTTATTGACGCCACAAATCCTAATATTACACAACCGAGAGGTCCGGTGCCGTCGAAGTTGAGTGATTTGCTCACAAATACTAATAACATTGCCGTCAGTAATAGGAGAACAAGTCTTGGAAAATGTGAACCATTTTGTGGCAGTTTATAGTCATTGTATTTGTCGGGAATATACCATAAAATCACTCCAAACAGTGTTCCCAATACAACACCTGTGAGGACACTGACGGGTCCTCTCAAAACACTCCAGACAATGGATGAGTTTATATCAAACACTAATCCTAAACACATACTGAAACCAGTGATCGCCATAACGTTGTCAACACTGGCCGATGCCATCAGTAGTGTAGGAATGCCTTTGTCTGTACCTAAATGTTTGGCCTCAAGTGATATCATTTGGGGAATAACTATCGCCGACGAAACGCCCGATAGTATAAAACCCAAAAGTAGTGCCCATTTGTAGGGAAATCCGATTAATAGATACGCAAAGATCGAGAAAGTGATCGCTTCCACAACGCATGGGATGAGCGATAGTCGCAAACAAACGGCGCTTAACTTTTTGATCATTTTAATATCCAAACCGAGTCCAGCCCTCAACAAAATAATCACAACAGCTATGGATCTTATTATTGACGATAATTTGTGGTTTAGGTTTAGTTCAAATATATTAGCAAATGTGAAGCCAATGAATAACATTCCCAACAGTTGTGGTAAATGAATGAATGCTACGATTTGTCCGCAAATATATGACATTACAAATAGAAATAATAATTGAAAGAGTGATCCATTCGGTGGAAGCGCTTCTTCGCCTAATATACTCCATAATAGACACCAAATCTCAATAATTATAATCACAGGAGTTATATATTTGATTAGCATTTTAGTCATCCTTTGTTACAATTAGTACTTAAACAACAATTGTTTGTAAATAATAAAAATTAATTATACAGAATATGAACATTACTTTATTAAAATTCAAGTATCATTTAATAAACAAAATGTAGATTTTTTATTTTACAACAATTATTAAGTTTTATAAATCCATTCATCGAATTACTTCATTAATAAAAACAATAAAATAATTATTGATTAAAATACAAACTAATTTTTTAAATAATGAAAATTAGAAAATCAAAATATTTTAGCGTTTGTTTAACGAAATGCAGTTTAATATACTTCAAGTGGTGTTCAAAGTATACTATTTATCAATATTTGATAATTGATTTGCAAATTAAATAAACAGCTATTGAATTCTCATTAAGATATTAATATTTCTCGTGATTCACTTAAAACACATGTAATTATATCTAATAATTATATTTTGTGTACAATGAAGGAGTTCATTCGCAATGGGTATAATATAATCAAGGGCAATAATTTAATTAATTGCTATTTTTGTTAATAAGTATACAAATAAATCAAGTTTATTAATGATAAAGTAATTTAAAATGTATATACAGGGTGTATATTATATTTAGTACTATTGCATGTAATAAAACTTTAATTTTAATTTATATGAAAATTCAATAAGTCTGAAAATTCAACACATTTTATATTAATAGAGTATTAAATGAACTTTATTTTCCTGCTATTGAAAGTTATTGTTGTATTCACTAAAAAGCTTGATTAAACAAAAATTCAGCTTTTTAAGACACCATATTTTCAATTTTAAAATTATTGTAGATCAGGCATTTGTAATGCAAATTTAATAAACTCTGGTGTATTCAAACATGAATTAAGTATACTTTATACGTGTATAATCACCAATTTGTTTTNACCCACACAACCAAACCCCTCCACACTTTCACTTTTGTATACCATTTCTGTTTGGATGTATAAAAATATATATAAAGATAGTGTATATGAGTGTATATATAGAGCCATTTCATCAGTGCTGATACTTTCAGTAGTCAGTCATCTAATGGGAGTCAACCGGAATATATGTGTGCCATAAGTATTAGGCGCTCATTAATCATATTTTGTTGTGTAGGCATCACATCATCTTTGATATGAGAGACACACAGAGTTTGGCGGAGAAGAGAGAGAGAGAAAAAAGTGGTGAAACTTGAGTTCCTCTATGGATGACAGACGTGTGTTGTGTTTGTGCTCTCAAAAGCATCGCTACTATGGCTGAGAGATGAACTCAATGTCGTAACGCAA